ACCAATGTGCCAGGATGCAGAGGGAACACGTACTTAATTCTCAAGGTCCAGCACCTTGTGGGATGGGGCACGCTAAAATGAAAGCCCTTTTGGAACAGCAGTTTCAGCTCCCCTTTGACTCCATCATTTCACAGGTTACCTTCTCCTCTTGATTAGAAGGAAACCCAGGTTCCCCCACCCCAGCCGTGAGCAAGGCTGCCCGGAGCCGTGCTGCAGGAAGGCAGGTGAATGTTTGTGACTCCTCTGAGGGACTGGCAGCAGTTTCACACCAACTGACTGAAAAAAATTGCCTGAAACTGATCTGAGAAGGTCCATGGGACTGGCGTGCTGGGTGGGGACTGCAAGCTCCTTTCTACTGCCAGGAAAGGAAACATTGTGCAGGAACACACATGGCTGAGGAATGAATCCCTAAGACGAGCATGGTGTGTGATCTCTCTGTCACTGCATTTTCCTTCCACTAACCATTTTTGATGGTGCTTAGTTGCTGGCCGGGATTAAACCACAACAACTTCATCTCCTGTTAAAATTCTCCTTTTCTTGTCCTCATTATTCCCTCAATTTCTCTGCCTTTTCAAATACCTCCCATCCTCTCCTGTCTTCTTCAGTTTCTTTTTTAACTCCCACTACAGGTTTCTTTCCCCTTTCATTTCATCGCTGGGACCATCACATCTAAAGATCCCTTGGTCTCCACCACTCTGAAAAAGCCATGCACTGTCTTCTGCACTCAGAGGTAGGAGTCTACATGTCCAATGCTCTTCTTGTCTCTACTCCCTTCACTTGCTGCTCTTCAGGAACAAGATTTCCTTCACTTGCTAGCCTAATCTTACAGTATCTCAGACTTGGCATAAGAGGAAAGATATGCAAGGATCATGGCAACCAGCAGGTATGTAACCATTTGCTTTCAAAATTTAGTAAGTGGCAGGGGTAAGATCCAGGGCTGGCATTGCTTTTTGCCCTCCTGACTTTCATGTTGCACCCATCAAAGTTTCCTGTTCTGTATATCTAGCAAGGCTTCCGCATACCAGGGCTAGAGCTTTCCAGCTTGGCATCTAGAGCTCTGCTGCAAGTCGTTGTGGCCAGATCAGTTGGGAACAGATCACCTGAAACACTTTTGGAGTTAGTTTACAGGTAGAGCTGCATGGAGATCAGGACACTTCTCTGTCTCATGGTCCCATAGCCCTCTGTGACTCCCTGGCTCACAAGGTGTTTGTTACCCTGGGCATTCACTTATGTCACTCCACAGGGGCCTCGGTCCTGGGCTCCTGTGGTCCTTGGCATAGTGAGGGTCCCCAGAAGGGAACGCTTTCCTTGGCTTACTCTCCACTAGGCTTGTGGCGCTGCTCTGCCATGCCTCGTTGGAGGATAAGGTTACCATACATCTTGGCAAGGTGAATCCTGGCCACCTCTAACTTTGCCAACACGTCGTCCATTTCTCTGTTCTCTAAAAATATCGTAGTCCTGTTTAAAACAAAAAGGGAAAAAAGTGTTGAGGGAAGGTGTTCTGGACAGAAGGGGTGCTAGAAAAGAACGACTGTTCCATGATTTTCACACACATAAACCAACACACTGCGTGACATCACTGTCAGGGGAACCCTCAGCAGCAAGGCTGGGCTCAGACAATTCCAGTGCAGCTTGGCAATGCTGGTGGGGCCACAAGGCCTGGGGCTTGGACCCAGACAGTCTCTCTTGCTCCACATAACTTATAAGCTCCATGCCCAGAGCCTGTCAGGTTGCCGTCTTTGATCCTGCCTAGCTGATGAACCCTTTTTTCAGCCTGCATAAAAGTCCTGGAGGTGCATTTGGATATCTCCAGGTGCAGGCTCTGTCACCGGGTAGCCTGGAGCGGTGGGTCTGGCTCATTCAGAGACAGCACTTATTTCTCTTCAAAAAGGCACACAAAGTGCTTTTGGGACTGCCTCTAAACAAGAACGGCTGACACCGCAAGCCTGTATTTTAAACCAATTCAGATCAAACACTAAGGAAATGCCAAACCAAAGAGCTTTCCATTTCCTCTGCTTCCCCTGTAATCCACCCGACTGTCTCTCGGTGCCTGGGAGTGCTGCTGGCCTCAAAGTTAACAACCTCCTTTCACACTCAGGAGAGCTGGGCTTTTTATCTGTCCTATCCCTGATGGCCTCCAGCTCTAAAGCTTCCCACACAACCCACCTTTAATAAATTGGGACAATTACTCTGGGCTTCTCAAGGATAATTGCTAATAAAATTCAGCAGATTTTACTCAAAAGACATGAAAGGGTTGGAAGCAGAAACAGACAGAAACTAAAGGGGAAAGAAAATGCAGGACAGAAATAATAGGCCTTGTTCCATTCATGTCTCATCCACCACTGCTGAGTTTTTGTTCTTAGAGTCACATATTTCAGAGGTGAATACTCTCAAGCTGTCTCTGGTGGGGGAATGGCTCATGCTCGCTGCTTTGGAAAACTGGTTGGTTGTTTTTGAAGTTAGTTACAAGATCTTCCTGAACCTAGAAGAAGCCAGGAAAGCCTCAGGCTGGGATTTACAAAAAATCAGCACAACATCCACAAAAGAAAAAGTCACAAGAAGACAAAATTGTCCGTATTCATCCTGATGTTCTCTGTAGGAACCCCTTCCAATACTTTATTTTCCAATGAAAGTTTAATGCACACAAGCAATGACTTCTGAGGCCAGGATGGTTTTATACATTCTCCTGAGGCACTGTAATACTTCTACACAGTCTCAGTTCAAGACAGTTGAGGAGCTATTCAGACCATCCTGCTCCCTGTGCACAAGAGCAGAACCCAACAGATGAGTTAGTCATCTCTCATCGGCAGCCCAAATGGCAGGAACCTCAAAAGACACCAACTAGGAACAGCATTGTTGTCGGTGTTACTTGGTTATCACACAGTGTCTAAAAGAAGAGCAGCTCGAGGACTGCATAGCCATTGGATGCATCTGTCATATAGGAACATCAGGCTGATAAAGGACTAGGTGGGTCACCAAACCCAGTCTCCAAATAATCTGTCTGTCAGATTAACTGGGAGCAAATTATAGGTGTCACTAATGAGACACATGAAATGGTACCGGCATGTCTTGCCTCCAGACTGTCTCTACTTGTGGCACATAGCCAGCACTACATAGGAAAGCAAAAAACCCTCTGAAACTAAATTACTTCTTGGAGGAAGGGGGAGGGAGTTTTCTTCCTAAACAGGCCACTAGCAACAGTCCCGAGCATGGGATTTATGTGGGATAGATATAGGAAAACAAATGGCTATGCAATATTCTTTCACATTCTCTCAAATATATCAGCATATCACAAACCCAGGGATTCTTATCACAAGTGTAATTTTATGTCATTATGGTTCCATTATGTAGTTATAAAATCTCTTTCACAAGCTCACGGAGCTCCACCTTCAGAAAAAAAAGTACTTTTCTTGCCTGACCCCACTACTTCCTAGTGGAAGACCATTCCAGAACTTTACTCCACAGGAGGAAAAAGACAGTCCTTGCTACATTTGATTTGAAATATAGCACATACCAAGTTAGAATCAGAATTAACCTGAACTAGATCAGGTGGATAACAGAGGAAATAGGAGGTCTTGAACAGGGAAAGAAGATGCAATATCAGAAAGCTCTTCACTCCTTGATTACTATCTCCCTGCTCCTCCAAGTCAGCTAAGATGCAAGAACAATTAAGGATGAACTTCAATATTAAATAGGACCTAAAATTGCCTTTTGTTATTTTACTTTCCTTCCCTGTATTTATACTTCAGTAGATCAATATCCTCATTTCCTGTTTCTGCATCGTGTCTCTTTAAGCTTCTCTGATGTTACGCTGCCTGCAGGTAACTGTGAGAAGCAAACCACTTCCCTCCCCAGGGGAGACAATGAATCTAAATAAAATAATATTGTAGAATACCCCTTTGGGAAGTGGAAAGTCAGCCTATGTTCCCCACCAAAAGGCAGGGGTCACTTTGGGAGCACTGCATGCCAGAACACACTGAAAAGTCTCTCCTGGCAGGATTTATCCAGTGCTTATAACTGATACCTACTAACCAGAGCCCCCTTGATCCAGGAAACATAACCCTATATTGCAATAGGTCCAAACTCCTGTTTATTTCAGTCTGTTTCTGTATTTACCACATTAGGAGATGATATGAGACATTTTGAGATGTCATGGCCCACAGAGTGGCCTCTGTGTCCTTTACCAGCCAAGAGCAAGGGGATCATTTTGTAAATGGCAGCCCAGAGCACCTCAACTGAATCTACAACCTTTGTGTATGAAACTATGCTGATGTTGTTCTTTATTTATGAATTGTTCCTTGCACAATGAAAGAAACACCTGTCAACCTATGAATGTAGAACAAATCAATTCCTTAGGGCCAGCAATTCTCCAACAGTCTTTTCTTCAATCCAGATAAATCAGCCTCTATATAAAAGCTTCACGAATTGTAAAGTAATCATCAGGTGTTTTAAGAAAATGGTCAATCAATTCTCAGAGACTATTATAGACTCCAGGAAATCATTGAAGTTTCTTACAATTGTAGTTTGTAACTCTATAATGCTTTCTCCCAAGGCATCTAACCCTCTAACACAGCAGCTCCTGAACTATTCCCCTGGCATTTCCACTTCTGCTCTGCAAGGTAGCGACTGTGGTCACACACCCTTGCTTGGGAACTGCTTTCCTAGCATATATTCCTCATGTCGTAACATGTTTCTAGCACCTAAGAGTCATCTGAACCTGCTTTGCAAAGTATTTAGAAATGAAATCTTAAAGCAATGTGACCCACAGCACAAATTAACACCCATCAGACTCGGCTGTGACTATTTGGTGCTCTGCACTGCAAGCAGAAATGGCTGGATGCTGATGTTACCGCTGGGAAATGGCATTGAGGGATGGCGATTCAGTCCAGGGCACTCAGATGGATTTAACATTGGTGGTAGGAGTAATGTTTTATTCAAATCACAGCTTTACCTTGAGGAGCCATATTATTTTGTGACCCCATTGCAGCAGGACTGGACCCAGCCACCATTTTGAAAGGGAGACTACGGCAATGCCACACCATGTGAACAGCAGTGCACGCTGCTCAGGGCAAGGCTGGGGCAAAGAGGGGTTCAAACCCTCACAGAAAATCTGTCTCTCTACATAGTCATTGGGGCCTATGTCCTGGAGAGCACAGAGGACAAGGGGATGGGAGACCAAGGGGTTTTTCTCCTTAGTATTCCACATATAGGCTAGGGCAGCATAGCAAGCAGTCCTCGCTCATATACGCAGGTTCCCACTGATTCTGACACGAAAGACTGCCCTGTGATTCCAGATTTGCTGGGGCAAGTTTTGTGTGCTCACACCCCTAAAGTCTTGTACTCACGAAATCAAGGATCTGTATTTCTTTTCCAGGGCAATTTTTTCCAGGTAAAAAGACAAGTAGAAGAGCAGGGCCATGAGGAACTCATCTAGTTTCTCATTCCTAAATGGAAGGTAGAAAGGTCACTGTGAATTCTGCAGATTTGCTGATATAGACACCACCAGACCATCAGGAAAAAGAACAAAGTCTCTGTTCAAGGGCCTGCATTATACCAAACCTTAGCTATATGGTTGAGACCTATTCATAGCAAGGACTCCACCCCACACTAAGACTTTGAAGGCTTTTAGGGAACCACTAACAGAGTCCCATAAACATGCTGAAGAGTGGATTGAATTGGATATTACCAGACATACTTCTCAGAAGCATGATTTCTGCACTGAACATGCTGGAAGAGTGGTATTCACATGCAAAGGAAAAGAGGGACAACTCGGACACCTCTCCCCTTCTGAAAGGACAGTATGGCTAAGGCTCAGCAAGGTCTACAGATACAATCCTAAATCAAAGGCAAAGCAGGCACTGTGTGGCCCTGGTGCTCTCAGGGATACAATGCTCTGCCTGCTGCCTCCTCACTTTTATCCTGTGGAGAAGTAATGCTGATAAGTGACAGCAGCATATAACTGAGCCCTGTAGCTCTGATGGGAACAGCAGCAGCCTAGGAAGGCAGCCCAGTTTCCCAGCTGTGTTAGCACGCCTGGTGCACACAGTGCTGCGGAGGCACTGGCTAACATGGAACTGAACTTAGAGTAACACAGATAACAACTTTTGGATATTTAAGTCCAAGTTCTTGCCTTCCTGTAGGTAACAGAGTGGAAGGCTTTCAAACAGGTGACAGGATTATTTCTCTGCACGTGTCAAAGACAACATACATTTGGTATTGTTTCCCAGTGAACCTCACAGATTTTAAATCTCTGATATTTCATATTCTACTTCTCATACACCCTGGTCCCTCCAGTACCAGCTACACACACATAATTCTTGAAACAAACTCTAAATGACATACCTCATAACTGCTGCAAATGATAACATGTGTTGTGACTCATTTGCTTTTCTCAAAAGCAAAGCAGCATCTGAAAACATACAGATGAGAAAAACAGTATTTCATCAAAAAAATTGCTAGTGTTAGTAGAAATAGCTTTCTAAGTTGTATGAGCAATGCCTTGCTGATATGAAATACCAGTAATTACTCACGTTTTACATCATCCAGAGTCACATATTCATGTTGTAGCCATTCTGCCCCCCTATGCAATTTTCCTTCTCTGTCAGTCAGCCTTCTTTCAGGGAGTGTTGCACTGCAGTCATCTTGGAAAATACTGATGGTTGACCAGTACATAACATTTAAGGACATAGTGTTAATTCCAGGCTGAGAATATTAAGATTATCTACCTGTTATGTACTCTCCTCATTGCACCCAGTTTCACAGGGACAGGCAGTGCAATGTGTTTGGCAGGTATCCTGAACTAACTTTCAACTATTATAACCACAAAACAGGCTGGGGATGTTGAGAGAAATAGGACATTTCACCTCTAAGGTTGCGTCTGAAGTTGCTCTTTTAGTTGCTAATATAATATATTGTGACTATATTATTTAGATCAAAGAGATTTTAAGTAATGAATGAAAGTCAGCTATACCATGTTGTGAATTTATAAAATTAATAATAATAATAATAATACTTTAATCTTTGAAGTACCTTACACAGATGAATTAATTACCTCACAATACTCTTTAGGGTAGATGAGAATTGTTACCTCATGCTGAGCGATCTGGAAACAGCAACAAAGATGCTGAAAGACTTTACCAAAGTCATACCAGGCTAGTGCCTGAGCTAGCATTCAACACCAGGCATGTCTGGCTCTGTTTTTATGTTCAGACCACTCAACCAGCCTGTTGAAATGGCAGCTGGCTTCCTGTTTCACGTGTTTTGTTCAGACATGATCCTCAGACAATGGATGAAAATATTCCCACCCAAATGAACTTGTTTTTGAGCTAGGCTAGGCAAAATTAAATACCTCTTTAATGTCTTGACACGCATTTCCTGAAAGTGAGTATTTTTCCCTTCCTTATGGTTTTCCTCAGCTGCTGGATTGGAGCTGAAATATAGAGCATGAGGATGCAGTAGTATGAATTTAAATTACTAGGAGCCGTGCAAAGAGGTCAACATCTCATGATACAAAGGCATATCTATTTTGGCCTCTAACTGACACTAAGGAAACATCTGGGTTGTGGAGAGGTCCACAAGAGACATTGCTTTCAAGAACACAGAAGCAAAGAATAAAGGGGCTTCCTTGGGTCTTCCTGTTCTGCATCCTGCCACCATACCCACTCCGCCATGCAAGCCCTTCAAGCAATTGGTGTCTCAAGTGGCTTTAGGAAGATTTTAAATATAAACTGTTCAGTTCCAGGGCTTTTCTTTGTGATTGCTGAGGGCAGAGACAGGCAGACGTCATGGAGAAACTCACTCCTCTCCCTGAAGCCAGCAGCATTCCCAAACCCAGCAGAGAAGCTGGCCAGAGCTCCTGAGACACAGACCATGAAAGGTGCCTGCAGTAGCTGTGTGGCCAGGGGAGAGGTGAGCAGCCTGGCTCCACTGTGACAAAGGCTTGGAAAATGCCAGGCAGGGCAGGGCATGGAGGCAGCAGCGTGGGACTGAGCCACCACCACCACACTCCACCGTGCTCCCTGCCCTGCCCTTGAGAAGAGAGAAAGGGGGACATGGTTTGGGTGTTGGGGATTTTTTGCCCCAATAAAGACTTAACCCACAACTGCCAGAGAAACTCAAAGCACAGTTATGTGCATTTTGTCCCCTGCAGAGCTGTGGTTTCCCTAAAGGTCTGCAGTCCTCCAGTGCTCACCAATGCACAGGGTCATACATAACACCAGCAACAGGGAACACCACTCTGTGGGCTTCCACCTGTAGACAGCTGGAGTGGCATTTGGCCCTCACGTCCAGCACTGCTGCTCCAGTACATGGTGCACATTTCTGACATGTGGCAGGACTCGCCACACACTTTTAGTCATCCCTCCATAGTGAGTTGAGCTCAAGAGCAGTGCAGAGTACATGCATATTTCTAATTTTCTCCATTAACATGATGGGATAAATGCCACAGAGCAACAGTTAAGGACCTCCAGTTTCAATGAAAAATAAAAAGTAATTTTAAAAAAAAATTGTCCTGCAGTTGGTGTTCAGGCAAAACAATATTATACCCTGATTTTAACGTCACTTGCAACTGCTGTATCGAGGCCTAAACCTGCACAATTTGAAACTAAACATCATTCTTTTACCTTGCAAATTCAAGTGTGTTAGTATCATCTTTCCAGTACCACACGCCTGAAGTTAGTTTTATCGTCTGCAAGAAAACAGCATATAGAGTACATGTCATAAATCTGTGCTCAAGTTCTCAGCCCAACAAAGTGTTTATAACACAAGCATTGTGTATATGGGCCACTTTCTATCTTTCTTCAGTCTGCTTTTCACCCAGATGTTGTTTGCGTGTGAGTTATTGGAACAGAAGTTCTCTGAGATTAAAGGTTGCCAGCATAAGAAGGAAAAACGTGTATCTATCCTTTTTTATGTCTTTCAGGTTATAAATAAATAATTGAAAGCTCGCTAAGGAACATCAGTTCTTTGATTGTCAGTGGATCAATAAAGACTGAGAAATCAAATGGAGCCATGCATTAAACCACATATTGCTTGCATTTGTTTTGGGGTTTTTTAATAAGTAATTGTAGAGACTAAGTATCAAGAGAAAGGAAACCTTTGTTTAAAAATTGAATGTGTTATGCATTTTCCTGATATTCTGAGAACTTTAAATAAACACCAGATAGACCCTTCAGGGAACACTGGTCAAAACTATAAGTAACAGCATTTTACAGTATCTATATTTTTTTTTAAAATCCACACAAAAATCCCCTGGAAATAAATAAGTTATATTAGTCCTTTCTTAATTAACAAGAGAGACTTGCAAACCCTTAACTATTATTTGCAGGTCACATTTAAAGCAAAGGTCCTTTTATTGCTGAAATCCTTCTGCCTACAAATTTAAACTGAGTGAAACATTAAGGCTTTCTGTGACTTTTTGCCAGGTACCATTGAGCCAGCCAGCCACAAGTTGGCTCACAAATTCTTGCTCAATCTAATTTGCTAGCAGAGTGCTGGATACGGGACACCAGAATAATTCCATTTCAGCAGCCAGCAGCCCATGCAATGGTTAGACCACAGAGATGAATATTAGGAAACCGTGGCTCTGATTCTTTGACAAAAAGTGGTAATTCCAACTTGTCTGTTCTAGTCTTCAGTTCCAGCTTTCTAATACTGGTTTACAACTCTCAGAAGAAAAAGGCCGTGCAAATGCTATGCCTTTATGTTACACAGAATGGATTATGTATCATGAAAAATCAGAAAAACAGGAAAGGTGGTAGTACAGCAGAGCAAAGCCTCCCAACCCGTCACAAGAAGGAGAAAATACCCCTCCTGTGTCTTCAAAATGTATCTCAGCTGCTTTTCACCAATAGAATGGCTGAATAACTGTCCCCAGCCACTGTGCTCCCTGGCTGGGGCAGTGGGACAGGTCCCTCCCCTGCCCACCCCACAGGTCCTCCCATGACCTCAGGATCTGCTGCAGAGGAAAACGTGAACAGCAGCAACGAGATGGAGCTGGGAAAGGTGGGGAGACTCACAGTTAGCATGGTGCTGCCCAGGACACTGCCAGGAGCGCAGCGACCAAGGCAGGCACTGTTGACAGCAGTATCCTGGTGACAGTCTGCTGTCCCCTGGGAACCGTGGATCCCAGTATGCAAATCCCCCCCAGCCAGCCCTGCGGACTGGAACTCATGGTCTGTGTGCTCTGCTCCTTCCCACCTCTGCTAAGCAGCTTCCCTGGATAATATTTTAGTCCAAACAGGGAAATTAAGTGCTTTCCATGCAGTAACATCCCCGCAGCCACTCATTTGGGCTTACTGTGCTCATTTGATGGTCGGGAGCTGCAGATATTTTCCTGGTTACTGGCCCAGTGAGGGCAGCTGTGCCTGGTCCCTCTGTTACAGGCATTGATGTCTGCACAGCACTCTGAATGTTAAATATACTTTAGCTTGGGACTTTACAAGATTTAAAAGTATATCTGCCAGGTAACAAGTCTCCTGTGACATGACCTAGGTCCCTCTGTGAGCAATCAGCTCAAGATTTGCAAGTTGCCCCTAAAAAGAATTCTCATATGCTAAGGCATGTCACTTAGGGGCATGATTTTGAGGGAGGAGTTTTGATCTTCAGGATTTTGTGAAGCATTGGTTTTTTGCAAGCAGAAAAATCACTCATACTAGTCATTCACAGTGGAACAGTGTCTTGTATAACAGATACTGCTCAGATCACACCCCAAATTGGTACAAGTTATATTGACAACAGCACTTTTTGCCAATAGAAGTCAAGTCCCCGTGAAGCGTGAGGTTTTGTGTAACAGCTAAGCCAGGCTAATAGCAAGTTGTTGATGGAAGAGGCATTCTTGCTCCCATCAAAGTTTTCCAATCATTTATCTTTGTGTTGATTCTTTATCTTCTCTGTCCCCTCAGCAAGGCGGCTCCCTAAAGTGTCAATAACAGTAATCCAGCAAAAATAAACGAGCAGCTTTCTGTTGAGTTAGCATTTTACATCAGTTCATGCTGGAGTCAGAGAGGGGCCAGCGGAGATGCAGATAAAGATAAGGGGATGGGGAGGACCACACCTCTCAATAGATCAGGTCAGCTATAAGGTGAAAACCAGCCATAATCCAGGAAAATTTTGTTAGAGCAGCTGCACTAGGCCAGTATGTACTTTAAAGAAATGAAAATACATGACCTAAGACTTTTAGACAGTTCAGTTCAGTAAGACAGAAGGAACATTTCCTATGCTTTCAGCTCTTAAAGATGGCATCATTCATTTTTGCAACAGTTTCTAACTAGGGAAAATACTCCTGAAAGCAGCACCGAGATGTTCATGACCACATGGAAGAGTACATTGACAATACAATGTGGGGAAAGAAAATTTCCATAAAACAACCTGTGCCTAACTTCCCCCCCTTTCCATAGCCTTTCCAACACTGCATCTTTTCTCTTGTGGGTACTCCATAAAGGTTTATCCATGCAAACATAATCAGTCCATGGATAGCTAAGCAAGAATCTCAAATCAGCCTGGAAATTCAGCTCTGGCTCTGTTCTCTACAACCATCTCTCTCTTTTTTTTTTTTTTTTTTTTTTTTTATTGACAATGATATTGTGTATGTTGTGTTTCCAGTTGCTATTGCAGGTTGCCAAGTACATATCCATGACTTGGCAGCCAAGTTGCATATTTAAGAGGATGAGAGAAGCAGGTTTGGGAACGACCTCAAATCTCACCCATGGCAGCCAGGCAGCACTATAGAAACAGGCTCCCCATCAGGGAAAAGTGGGAGCTATGGAACTAATGGCTCATCAATTCATTTTTATAGAGTGGGGTTGTCGTCAGCCTCAGGAGACCATCAGCCCATCTTGGCTCCAGTAAAAGTCATGCCAAAAGAACTGGGAAAAGTAAAGGACATGTTGCAGATAGTCAGGGCCACCTGTATTAGCATCCATGGTGCATGCAGGAGGCAGGGGAGACAAACCTTCATCTGTATTAGACTTGGGAGGAAATTGGGACAAAAAGCTTAGATGAAAAATGGGGAGAAACTAAGAGTGAGATCTGCCCACAGGGAGAAAAACTGTGAATGGGAAGACTGGGACTGATAGCAAAACACAGAGCTAGCTAGGCAGGCAGGGCAGGCCTGGAAATCAGCACAGCAGGCAGGTGAACTAGGGGAAAATGAAGACAAATCTGGAAGGGATTTGTGGAGAGTGGCCCAGAATTGGCTCTGGCCAAGCCAGGCCAGACAACAGTGTTAGGAGGAACCCCGAGACTGAGTTACCAGAGCAGGAGACTTGGGACACTCAATGTACAACCAGGTGCTTGCTGGAGGAGATCAGTTCAGCCCAGCATCTCACACATACTGATGGTCCAAATGGGTATCAGTCTGGAAAAAAAAAAAAAAAAAAAGTCTGGCATTGTGTAGCAAAGGAGATTAGTGTCTGTTAGATCCCTGCTTCAGCTGTTGCAAGAGTTGGAAGCTATAAAAGAAGCAAGCCAGAAGATTACAAGAGGTGAAATTAAGGCTTAATGGTTGAAGCAGTTGAAGGCTACATGGGAAACTGATTTCCATATGGGCTTCAGTCATGCCAGGCAAATCACTCCATTCCACATTTAACCCTAATGGCCATTATTTGCATGCTCTTTTCTCTCTGAGTGAATGGCCTGGCTTCACGGAAGTCTAAAAAGCAGGACTGGGTGCCCACAGCTGTGACCAAAGCCAACGGGAACTCTACTTTGAACAGTCCAAGAAGTGTATAATACTGTCCTGGTTTTGCTAGGATAGGGTTAATTTTCTTCTTAGTAGCTAGAAAGCACTGTGTTTTGGTTTCAGTGAGGATTGTTATGAGAACAATGTTGATAACTACAAGGACATGGTGCTTGGGCAGTTTCCAAGAGCAGAGGACTGGAAGGGGGGAGTGGAGAAGAAAAGTGTAGCAGTTAGTAAAACCCAGAATTGACAGTTGGATATGCCAATAAGATATTCCATAGCATATTACATCGTGTTTAGTATATTAACAGGGATTGACCAGAAAGGAGGGATTCTCTCGGGAATAGTTTGGGCTCATTTTTTTCCAGAATTGTGATTTTGGTTTCAGGGTTCCATTTTGCTCCTCCGGGATCGATATCAGTGGGTGGTGAGCAACTGTACTGTGCATCGCCCAGATATATATAGTTGTTATCATTATTACTCTTATCATTCTTATTTTATTTTACTCTAATTATTAAATTGTTCTTATCTCAGCCTACAAGTCTCCTGGCCCCTTCACTCCTCCAGTTCTCTACCCCATTCCCTGGGTGGGGGGGGAAGGGGGAGGGCCTGCGAGTGACTGTGTCTTGTTTGGCTGCCAGTGAAGTTAAACTATCACAAATACTAATTCTGTCTGAAAAAACAGTTCCTTGGCATTTCCAGTAGAAGACCCCATAATGGAGAGATGGTGTTTGGCTTTTGGTGTTTTCTTTTATCACCTTCTCTCTGTGGGAATTATACACGTCGGGGTGAAAACGAGATGTTTAATGTTGTGAAGCACTAAAGATGCAATGGTGATGAGATACACAGGCAACATCCTAAGGGATAATTCTTCTCCAGAGCTGGGGCTGGGCAGCACACAGTAAATAAGGTGTATATTGAACTTGGAAATACAACTTTCTTAGAGTGTACACTGTCAATTATGTGACTGAGGCAGGTGCCCTACAGAAGAAAAAAAAAATTTAAAACCCTGTTACAGTGTAATTAAAAACTGGGTTATGATGCATAAGCACAAAGAAAGAAGAAATAGAGTTGCTCTGATGGTCATTTCTGAACAAGTGACCTTGCAGCCTTAATAGGCTTCTTTTAATGTTGTTTCTTGTGGTGTTTGTGTATCCATGTGCGTCCCAGTAGCTGAGAACACTCAACAGTACGCATATGTACCCATTCTTTAGGTATATCTAATGTTTAATTTGGATATCACACCCAGAAAATAAACATATGCATAAACTCAACAAAAATATCACTGACTCACCATCCAGTCATCCACCTCTTTTCTGCCTCTTGTTTCTTCTTGCTGTGTCAAGCCTCTGTCTTCCATGCCCACCGTATTAATTCCTTCCTCTCTTCCCAAGGGCAGTTACATGTCAGCCTGGGTTTCTCTGGGGATATTAGACTCTATGTGCACGCAGCACTGTTTGCATTAGACACACAAGTACAGAACTCAATTTCATGGTAACTAATACTTAGTCCATGACTACACCATTTACCTGCCAAGTACTTCTGCCTGCCCATTAAAAACAGGATCATGCTATATGAATGGAATAAATAATGTCCTTAGGCGCAATACTGTGAGCACTGGTGTGGTTTTTCACTTCAGATTTGTGCAAAATTGAAGCTCATAATCCTTTGTTTTCAGCAATTTTCAGTTTCCACGTGTTAACACTGCTGCATTTCAGTCCCATCCCTTGGATCATCTGAAGCAAAGGGTAGTTAGATAGCTGCACTGTAACTTCTGGGGAGACACCGTGTCCCCTCACATCCACACCTTCCCGGGACACCAGCACCAGCCTTGCCCTAAACACATAGCCCTGTGGCCTGGCTACCTGCCACGTTCAGTGGCAACTACATTCACAGGGGCAAACGTGCTAAAGGTCTTTGATAGGCAAAGGCAGAATTAGCTGCTGAGTCCAGCCCAAAGGTCTGAGGGAGCTTGGGAGGCGGTGATTGCTTACGGGAACCCAGGCTGCTTTTGGAAAGCCAGAAAAACCAGCTGCACATTCTTCTACTGAAATCTTCACGCAATTACTCCCTCTGCGTGGTTTTATCAGATGAGATTATTGAACATTAGCAGTTGTCAGCTACTTTCATGCAGCTAGGAATTTGCCTTGTGCTCCCAACAATCAACCTTTTGTTATTAACATGCCTCTTAACAGAAAGGAAGAAGTATTTCAGTGTACTTCATATTCAACAGGTATTTTCAAAATTTTGATTTTAATTCTGTATTCTGAAGTGCTCAGAAATCTATGGAGCTTAAGAAAAATGTCATAGCCTAGTTTCTAGTTCTTCTGTAGGATATAATAACCATCCCCCTGCTATAGAATTAGGAAAAAAAAAAAAAAGTGAAATTTAATATAGATGTACTATAGGCAAGATCTTCTCTGTTCAGTTCTGTGAGCTTTGAAGGTAATTATTGCAGAGAACTTTGGGTTTAGGGTTTTTTAATTACAGAGACTTTTTAGCTTAGAATTTTTAGTTTGGTTATCTTCCACCTGTAGTGCCCAGGACAGGACTAAGGACTTACTAGCATTAGTTGGCTTTAACCAGGCTGTGTTAGTACATTTGCAAACATGATGTGAATGAGGACTGCAGCAGGAAAATAAGGAGCCTGCCAAATTAGAAATAAATGTGGTTTCGAAAGAAATATGTTTACATTTTTAGACACAGCCTGGCAAAAAGAAAAGCTACTTTCAGCTAAGAGATGTGATTGCTAGACTGTCGGTTCAACTGTGCAGCAACTCGTAGAGGGACTGATAGAAAATATTTCATGATGCTTGTCAGTGAATAGCAAGGCAACCAAGACACCTAAACCCATGGGGTTTTATATAGAGTCCTGCTGAAATATATAACGGTAGCACTTCTGGAAGTGTTTTTGTCTCCTTAATTCTATTTAAAATAGACTTTGAACTGCAATCATTTGCAGCAGTGACATTTTGAACAGATAGGGTACAAGTGCTGCTAACTGCTACCTATGCACAAGCAAGAATGACCTCACGCTGCTTGGTCCAGGATGAAACAGTGATCTGTCAACTTGTGTCAGGACAACACAAATACCAATTCCTCAAAGGTGGGAGAGAGTCTCTTCGGCAATGGAAAAGGAACAAAAATTTCCTATAATGCCCTTCATTTTCCTTAAAAGAAAGACAACAAAAAACATGTTGGCTCTTAGAGGGAAATTTACCCCCTCTCTAAAATTCCTGGCTTGTGCAGGTATTGGGATGACAAGAGGAACCAGCTTGTCTGTGTCTCCACCCTACCGATGCAGGAGAGAGTAAAGGCAAATGGGTCATGCAAGGGTGGATCAGGGGTTTTTAATACTGCTGTTTCATATGTGGAAGTGAAATATGTTGTTGCATCTGGAAATGCTGGCCTGCCCAACTATATAATCACCACGCTGCTGCAAGCAAAATCTGCTCTAAAGGCAGGTCTATGCTATAGGCTTCTTGCCTGCATAAATAGGAGGATGAGAGTGGCGGAGAGATGTGATACCTGACCCACATAGGTGTGCTAAAGAAGCTTTACTAGCATAACTTGTTTCGCTGTGGGGTAGGGAGGGGTGATAACTTTCCTGTGATGAACAACTACAGACGTAATTTTGCTACTGTAAGAGCATCCACATGCTTTGCTGATTTAATATCACAGGGTTGCCATGTGCCAAGGTACAGTGTCCCTGATGTGGGCAGAGATTAGACCACTGTGTGCTTCCTAAAGGGACACAGTAAGGGAAATTCATGCCAGGCACAGGGCAAAGGAGCAGAAATGTGGAACACCTTCTAAATAACTGGAGCCTGAAATGCTATTACATTGCAATGCACTGACAAGACTGAAAAAAGGAACTTTAAGTATGCATGCTGGGTGGAAGCCCATGCTTTTTAACGTGATGCCTTGCGCTTAATGTAAGTGCCAAGACTGGAAATGTGAATTCCCTGAACGCGTGTGTATCTGTGGGAGTGCCTCGCAATGGGGAAGACAAAATTTATGGTGCAGTCCTGAGATGCCACATCTCCTTCAGAGTTGTCTCCCCTTGGCTGTGCCCCACAGTGCCCCAAACCTTCAAGGAGAACCTTTCAAATAAATAACAGGCAGCTCCCAAGAGAAAGGCTGCCCAGCCCACAGGGCTCTACGCACTGTCTCCTGAGAGATAAAAGGAAGGCTGCCAGGATATATTCATTCTTGTCTTTAAGATGGTATCACAAGGGGCTGAGCAGGGCTGCAGCCTGTCTGCTAAGTCCTCTGTGCAGAACTTCAAACAGACGCTCTGGAGGTGGCAGGGCACGGGGCTGACTCACCGGCCGGCTGGGTGGACACAGCCTGTCCAAGCACGTCTCAGCTTTCCAGCTCCTGAGTGGGTTGCCCTCAGACAGCTCTCTTGTCCTCAGCGTCCTCCGAGGACTCTCACATAGCACGTTATTTTAGTAATGCTTTTGGATTTGTCTTTTTTAGGCTCGTCCCTCTCCCCTGCAAAGCCACGGCGGGGAATTGCAGGGTGACGGGCATTGCACACAGGAGGGATTGCTTTGCATTGCTACACACCTGGTCGTACCATGAGTGAGGTGCTAAGGCGCTGAAGGGTTTTAATTTGGGTGATTAAATTCTCCAGTATTAACGCTATGGGTGTTCCTCTATATAAAATAATACCACCCATAAAAACGCTATCAGCAAATACAAGGAGCCATCAAAAGTTGACACTGTAGTTACACAAGTGCTATGAAGTTATAAGCACTTTGCATCCTTCCTATGGGCTTGGTCTTTCACACAGCCTTGTTTAAGAACAAGCAAAGCTCAGGAACTCAGGCCCGTGATTCTGACAGAAGGAGCTGTGAGTCAGGACAGCCCAGAGGAGAGACGCTGAGCGTGGAAGCAATGAAACTGCAGATTTTAGACAAGATTATTTTCCTAGCTTTGCCAAATTGACTTGAAATGTGCAACTGGTCTGCAGAACTACGTGTACACACCAAATACACCTAATTGCAAATGAGGAGCAGCGTTTTCCCCTCTGACGTTTACTTCATTTAAGAGACTGGGGGAAAATATGCAGACCCACTGGAGTCAGTGGGAAGTTTCTACTAACTTAAAACAGGATCAAGGTTTTGCTCTAAGTACAATATACTGAAAATCAACTTGAAGTTATTCTTTGTTTTATAAACTAAGTGAATGAATGCAAGGAATCTAGTTGTGAGACCCTCAAGTTTTCTGCCTCTTGCTTTTTCAGGGGTTGTTCACATATTTGAAAGGCTATTTTGTGCCTCAAGATTTCAAATCTTTTTCCAATCTTGTAAGTTAGCAAAAGTTTATCATTTTTTACATATCCCCCACAGTCTAGGTGTGTCCATACTAAAAAATACCCCTTTCAGAGGGGAAAAAAAAAAAAATACAATTACTGCAGAGTTAACCTGCTCATGTCCTCAACCCCTGGGGTATTTTAACCACCTGGATGGGTACTTCATGTCTGTGGTCTCTGTCACTCCCTGCCTGCCCCACTGCTGAAATGGGCACAGAGCAGCAGTGGCCAAGGTGAGGGAAAGGACAGGTGACAGCACAGGTATGTAACAAACTATATGCTGTGTGCGTTTGGCTACATTAGCTCTGCAATACACTTAAATAGACGTTTGGAAAAAAAACAACAAAAAATTGTGTTTAATAACTGGGAAGCGACGCTGAGGAATGCACACAAAGGGCTGAAAATGAAAGGAAACGATGTGGCAAGGGCACTACCCATCAGTTAACAGAAAAAATAGTTCACCTGCATTTACAGTGATCAGGGGTGCTCCCTAATCCTTATGGTTGTCCCATGGTAGAGGGATTTTGGTTAGGAAGAGTGTTCATGACAAAGTATTACACTTTGCAGCAACAACTTTTCACCTACAGGCAATCTACTGCTATTCATAAACACATTTACTTATTAACTCCCAGGAAAAAAAAAATAAATAAAGTCATAGTATCTTCTCATTTTCAGGGGTCCTATAGATTACAGCCTGGAAATCTAGAGGCTGATGGCCAGAAAAATGCTGTGTGCATGAACACCAAAAGCACCCAGCCTGATTCCAGCCTTTCCAGAACTCACTGAACACTCGGCAGGTGCCAAAGTTGCTGTAATGGATTTCTCGGATCCCCCTGTGATGGCACTGCCATTTACCTACCAACCGTTCGATAAACTTGAAGTGGTTTTGAATCATTTGTGACAAGAGCTGACCAAACAAGCTTTTTACAAGCCTCACATTCCCCCATGGCGACTGCGAGCCCTTTCTGTAGCCAGTGAAGAGAAACCTGCCCTCAGTGTCCTGGCAAACAAGCCAAGAAATTATGACATTTTTAATTATT